AAATGTCACTCCATCGTCAATGTCCTATAGTGACTGATTTTCTCAGGTACTTACTCTTAAGATTTGAGTTAAATGTTTGATATCATAGAAAAAAAAAGCACTGCTCTGATTTTTTTTACAAGTATTATAGGATTTCATGTATTTTGAATATTCACATATAGTAAAATATTGATAAGTTTTTAGACAAGATCTTGGTTCACTTTTCAAGTATGGGTTTAGAAATTTCGTTCGAGAGTAGTGAAATAGTTCTTGATAAATTCAACAGGCACCTCAATTTTCATTTTCCTTAAACACTCATTTGTGAAAAACCAACAACTGTTTTACTTTGAAAGAAGTTCTTGAAAGAATGTTTGTGGCCTCACTTGGGTAAAAGCTACAGCCCTGGTTCTTTCTCATAGCTTTTGATGCATTTTAGCATATCAAAAACGAATAAATATCTTGTCTGAAAATTTTCTGATTAACGATTAGAGTCACAACTTATCTAAATACTAATTCTTATAGCAAGAGAGTTTATAATTCATCATTTTCTAATAGACAAATACAAAGAAGTTAGTTAAATGACAAAAATACAAGAACAAAGAATATGTATATATATAATCTTTCCTTTTTTGACATACACAAAAATTGCCTATCAAATAAATCTTTTGTTTTTCCCATTCACTATGTTTTACAATGAAACGAAAAAAAGAACATGAAAAAAAAATAAGCAATGATAAGCATGTATAATACACAAAATAGATTTACATGCAAAGTTTTCTTGTTTATTATTTAGATGACTAATGTTGTTGATCATCATTTAAACGGTTATTATTATTATTATTGTTATTCGTTGTCGTAGCAACATTAAAAGAAAAAGAACCTGTCGTTGTCGAAGGTGATGTTGCTGTATTAGTTGTAACATTCTCAGGAGTAATTTTAAATTTTTTGCTATAATTATCATCATCATTTGTTTCTTCTGTTAAAACATGTTCAGATGATAATGATCGTTTATTATTAACTGATGTAAACATTGTTGGCCATGGACTATGTTCAGTTGATTTTAATACAGTCGATCCTTGATTTATGTCTATTGGCGATTGTTGATTAAAATTAAATTTAACAATAATTGCTGTCATATTATCACAGCCAGTACCATCACCGCTTGTATTTGGTGCAAGACAATGCATAAATAACTAAATATTCATAAATATAGTTCGTTTTTTTTGTCGGATACACCAGAGTCTGTCACAGGATACTTTTTTTGCCCTATTTTGTCCTTAGGACATATAAACTGCAATCGACTATAGAATGGTTTAGTTTCATGTATAAAAATCAGATTATATTCTAGTGGAAATATTTTATTTTTAATTTACTATAGACGGAGAAATAATCCTTTTTAGTTTAATATCTTGCCTTTTTTTAGCCTGGGTATATGACATCAGTAACATATTCTTACAAAAAATAAGATATTCGTCGGTTAAAAATAAAAAGAATTCTTCATCATTGAATATATCATGATCTAATTGAGTCGAAGTCATTCTTTCTCAAAATCGAAAGAGTTCGCATTAAACGACGATGAACTAGAATAAGTATTACATACATAAGTGCTAATGAAATGGGTGGAAAACAGAAAACCATGACTAACTTATAGAATTACATCGATGACACATATGCCGAAAGATTCATGTTTGTATTAAGAAAACAATTTCAAATGACATTTTATTTAAAAAAACTCTAGAATGACAGAACAGAGTATCGGAACGCTCTGTCTTGATGATGATCTCTAGTGCACACAGTAAAACTTAAACTTACTTCTTCACATATTTGTGATAAAGTTTGTTTTTCCAGACGTCCACGTACAAAATCAACAACATCTTGACTTGACATAAAATTCCATATCCCATCACATGCAATAACCATAAATTCATCTTGATTTTCAAGTGTTAATGTACGTATATCTGGTAAAGCAGTTATAGCTTGTTCTTCAGGTGGTAATTTAGGAGTTTTTTTATATGCATGATCACCAATAGCTCGAGACAAATTAAGACCACCTATAAATTTTATTTTATTTTTTTAAATTTCTTAATCTCAAAAGAATAAATTATAAAGTAAAACAAACCTGAAACACGTCCATCTAATGTTACTTTATAACCAGCTTTTTCTATTCGAGTACGTTCTTGAGGATCTTCCGGTTTATGATCTAGATAACGATAATTATGAATTAATAATAAAAGAAACTGAGCATACTAACCAACACTCATTTCAATTGCTCGACCATTACGACATACGACACATCGAGAATCACCGGCATTAGCAACAAATAATTGTTTATCACGTAAAAGAGTAACAACAGCTGTACATCCACTTGATGAACCTGGATCACTACTCATGTCAAGCATTTTACCTAACTCTGTATCATTTGCATCATCTAAAAAAAAAAGAAATAAAAATTTTATTTAAAATAGTTTATTTATGTATTTACCACTACTTTCTGCTTCTTCTTCTTCTTCATCATCATCATCATTTCCTTCTTGTTCTTTATTCTATAAAAAATAAATTAAATATTAAACATTAAAAAGAAATAGATAAATACTTGATTTTGTTTGGCATCATCTTCACTGTCATCATTATGTTTTCTTTTCTTTGTATGTCGATTTAGAATAGCCATTATTGATTTTCTCATACTATTAAACAGGGTATAGAGGCAAGAAAAAAAAAGTAATTTTTAGAAAATCAAAATTTTAATTTACTTACAGTTTATTAATTTCTATTGCTTTATTTGATTCTGCTTGTTTGTCTTCATCTTCCTCTGTTTCTTCTTCTGTTGCTTCTTCTTCCTCTTCTTCATCATCAGCATTTTCGTCATCGTCTTCATTATCGTCAGCTTCATCACCACTTGTTTCATCTTCTGATCTATGATCAATAGATTTATTTAAAACATAGAAATATGCACAAAATTATTGAAAACGACACATAATCATCTTCAACTTGAATTTTAATTAAAGTGCCATTAGTGAATCATTCTCTAATTTTATTACGAACAAAACTATGAATTTTAGAACAGACTCCATCAGAAACCAAATTGAACTGCGTTTTAAATTTTATAGTTATCCAAGGTGTTTTGCACAGGCTATAAATCTTTACATAGTTCGTTTGTAAAAGCTACTCCAAATATGTTAGCAGTCAAGAGAGTTTCGTTTTGATTAGCAAAAACCGACATATTCTGATCGATAGTGAGCGATTTCTCTTGTAATAATGATAATCTCTTCAATCAAAACTGGTAGTATATTCTAAATGAGCAGACAAGATAACATTGAGCTAAACATTTTTCAAACTTTGCTGACAACTTTTATTATTGATCAAAATTGGAGCCGTGGCCATTTCAGAATTAGATCGATGCCATGTTGTCTGTTCATTCTGTAGATGTTATTGATTTTTGATTGAAAAGATAGTTATATCGATAGGTATAAAATTCAGAGTGAATAAACTCTAACTCAAGTACATTTAACGGTTTGTACTCGATGTTGACATCATAGTTGAATGATATTTAAATCAGAACTTAATTTTATAAATCTTTGATCAATAATTATTGTATAGGTTTTTGAAATATCTTTTACGATCTATTTATCCTTTTTCGGAATATATCAAACTTACTCTTCATATTCAAAATCATCTTCATCTTCTTCATCTTCTTCTAAGTCATCAATATTATCACTAAGTAAACGATGTGTTAGTGATTTAGATTTGACTGTTGTTGATGGAGATGTTGTTGTATCACTTGAAGTTGATTTTCGAGGACGTTTTGATGTTGTTTTCGATTCAGATGATGACGGTTTAACTTCCTATTGAAAAAATAAATCACTGATAATAATATGAAAGAAAAAGAAGAAAAAAAAGCTATACAGTTGCATCTGACATTTCACCATTTGATGTTGTTTCAGCAATTTTTTGATCTAAAACATCATCTGTTGGAATATTTTCTTCATCAGCATGTGTTATTACATCAGATTTAATTTGATCTGTTTCAATTGATGTTGATGTTGATGTAATTTTATCTTCATTCGTTGTTTCAGAATTTCGACTAAAAATTCAATGAAAAATAAAAGCACAAAATGAATTTTATTTTCATTGAAAAATAAAAAGAATCTTACAGTTCTTTTAGTTTTTCTAAATTTTTAATTTTTTCATCATTATCATCTGTTTTTAATGGATTTTGTATTTTATTTTTAGAAATTACAGGTGATGGAAAATATTTTCCATCATTACTGTAACGTTTAAGAAGTTCTTCAATAGGTAATTCAGCTTCTTTTTTTAATAATTGTGCTTCTTCAATATTTAATTCTTCATTATGATTATTTTCTTCATTTGTATTTGTTGATAAAACAATATCATCAGTAGTTTGATCATCTATTGGTTCATCATTGTCATTTTTATCTTTTGAATCAGCTAATGCTTGTAAAATTTCTTTAACATTTGTGTCAAGTAATAAAGAATCAAATTTAAGAAAACCTTCAATTAATGCATCATTTAATCGTCCTTCATTATATGAATCAAGTTGTTTAAGAAAATCCGGAAAATGACGCGAACAATAAAGAGCTATTTCAGCTCCACCATGACCATCATAAACAGCAAAAAATGATGTTTTATTATCAAAATTAAGTATAGCATTATGTGCATCCTAAATATTGGCAAAACAAAACTACATACAAAAAACATGAAAATAAATATACTTCTTGCGACATTCGCCATCCTTGCATTGAACTTGCAGCAAAAGCTAAATGATTATTTGAACCTTCAATTGTATCTTTGTCACATATAGGCGATGATAAATAAGCACCCATCTAGAGAATATTATTTTTTAAATTAATTTTACGATTATTTTCTTAAATTTTGTGAATGTAATTTAAAAACCTATAATAAAATACTATGGAAAACAAAAAGAAGACAAGTGATGATTATTTAATGTTGCCAAATTTTCTACCAATTATTTTATGTTCTTGAAACCTTTATTTTGGATCTCAAGATTTTGTTATGAACTATAAATAACGATAGAGGGCGCTTAGAAGCAAAAACACAGATTTTATTTGAAAAAGTCCAATGAGATAGCTTAGACGACATTGATGATTGATTGATCGATAAGAAAAATATCAATGATATATTTTGGATTGAAAATAATAGAATGAATTGAAGATTTGTATTCTAATGATTATTTTATTTATCAAAATTTATGCATTACTGTTCATTGTATCGTCAATAGCAAAACATTTTCATTCAAGAATAGTCTCAACATTTTTTTTTCATAAGATCTGCATCTGAAAATTAAAAAAAAATGAGAGAAGATGAGTTCTTGTATGCTGTTTTAATAAAATACAGTTAGTACTTCTTTTCTTTTTTTTAGTGCGTAATAATAGTGCAGATCAGATAAAAAAAAGTCACATATGTTTATATTCATTGAAATTTAATCTTCGAAAGACAAATGTGTGAACTGTTCTACTAAAAAAGAGAGCATTTAATGTTGAAGTAGTATGATTCACATACACAAAAAAAAACATTAGTACACTTTAAGTTTGTTTACTGTTGAAAATGATCAATACGCATGTAAACCTTAGTCGCCGAAGACGAATGAAGATTTGATAGATTCTAATTAATTTGGTTTAGACTTTTCGTAGAAATTTTTTTCACTTGTAATGATGAATCTTTACTTCAAGTTTTTGCCATTTTATAATGCCATATTGACTTAAACAAAAGTTAATGTTTTCTCAATAAGATTTTCTAAGTCTCTTTGACGAAGACAATGTTATTATTACCGGTAAAAAGAAATATAATGCATTTCTCAAAACTATCAATCTGATCGAAGGAAAAAAGAAAGTATTGGTGCCGTCCTTCAAGCTTACGAAGCGTGAGTCTGAGATATGCTTTATAAAATAAGATCCAATCAACATGAAAAGAATATTTCACGATTATTTATACTTGTTAGTAAACTTTTTGTTTCAAAATAACTATTATCTAGGGCATACTAATCAATCACCTTTTTGTTTACAAAATCTTCCATTTTGTGAATTTTCAAGTATTCTCTAACACAAATATTTGCATACTACATATATAAATTAATTTATATCGATGAAATGTTTGCATTACAAACTTCTGTAATCTTTCAAGGTTTCGGTTTGACTCTCTTTTTGGTATCCGTTTTTATTTAAAAAAAAACTGTAAAATACATAAAAATTTGCATTGATGTTGACTGGATAAACTTCAAAAGTAGAATTTTTTTCTTATGTGTCGATTATATGAACAATATTGAGTATAATCATAGTAATAGATCATACCTTTGACAATAGACATAATTTAGTCTAACGAAATCTCAAGGTCATTTGAAAGCAATAAGAAGTTTAATGATTTTATATCATTGATATGTTCAAATATGACCCATTTTTCATGTTTCGTATTGTTGAATTCAATGAAATTTTTGTTTTGAAGTCAATAATTATATATAAAGCTAGTCTTTTGCTTTCAAAAATTCAAGTTGAAGTTTAGGTGAGTGTTTTTGCTTTTTTCTGTTTTTCATATGCAACAAAAGACATTTATAATGTATTTTGGTTATAGCCATATATAAGCCACGATTTGCTACAATTAATATCATGTTCAAAAGACAACAGCTATTAACAAATAGAAATGATGACTCTTTTTTTTCAACGACACCACTATAGATTTCTCATTTTTTTCTAGTGGTTATCGGTTGCCAAAATAAGGATTAAGTTTATTTTTTTTTATTCATGTAGTTATAAAAGAAATTGACATCTGATTTATAAACTAAATGTTCAATAGTGATGGTATTCAGCATGATGACTATCTGGTGAGATGGAAAGAAAAGAAAGTATACTTACTATTATATTAAAAATACCAAGAATTACAGAGAAGTTAACACTTCGGACTTTGCTGATGAGAATGCTTGATCGACATTAGTAATGTTACTTTTCTGTATAAATATTGCTGTCGTTTATATGAAATATATAAATTTCAAAAGCTTATGTCATACTTTTTTTACAGACATATTTCCTATTAATCCTTTCATAAATCTAATTCCATGATCAACTAGCAATATTATATGATTAAATAAACTATTCGTCGCAATAGAAGGACCTAAGGCTTCTAAAATGTCTAATTACTCAAAAATCTTACGGGGAACTTCTATTATGAGAAAACTATTAATACGATCCAATTATAGGTGTTACCGAAAAGAAAACTCACACGCTCACACCATATCATGATATTATGGACGGAAGAAATATGAATTTTATAATCTGTAATAATGTTTCTGTACCTGTTCCAAGATAAGAAGCGAGCAACAAGGTACATAGTGACAATGATCTTAGACATCGATGAAAAATTAACATGATTTCTAGAGATGGGTCTTAAATATGAGTATTTGATGTCTAATGAAATATCTTTTTTTATATAGAGACGCCGCCTGATTCAGACGAATTTAATAGCATCAGTAAAATTTTGCTCGAAAAAATGAAATTTTTTGAATACAATAAAAACTTAGGGTTTCTACTGTGTGTATCTTCTACGTTGAGCAGTGATTTAGTGTCGGTGTCGTCTAGCAAACATTTAAGTATGGTGATAAAATAATAAAAATTTGTTTCTGAAGAAATAATTAAACAAACTATTCGTCAACTTGAATTTTAGACTAAACTACTATAGTGAGATCAAAATATTTATCATTACTACTAATCTTGTATGGTTTTTCAAACAATTGACAGGATAATCATACAATAGAATTCTTCTTCTTTTTTCTGCAAGATAATATCAATAAAAAAAAGTAGTGTTCTGGTCTTATGCTTGATTTATGTTGTTTTTTTTCTTGTTTAAAGATAATATTATACAAATCAGAAGAAAAAAAACTTCTTTTCTTTTTTTATAATTTTTGACGAAATGACGACAAGATAGAAATATATATATGTATATGAGAAGAAAAAAAAACAGAAGAATATTAAAAAGTATGATCAATGATCATTCATGATGATAATTATAAATGATGATACCGTTAAACAAACATCAGTTAATTAGAAATCATAAATATACATAAACGAAAAAAAATTTCTTTTTTTTTTTTATCATGTTGAACTTTTTTCTTTTGACTGTTCAGCATTTTGAATAGCTGGTACTAATCCAGAATCATTTAATTGTTGCTCATTAATATTATTGTTATTGTCATCATCATCATCATCATCATCCATTGATGAATCTGGTTCATCATCTTCATGATCAAATATATCATCAAGATTTGTAGCATCATTTGATGTTGGATTTGGATCAAGTGCAGCAGCATCATTCATTATTTCACGAGTACGTGCATCAATATGTTGATGTTTTGATATTGATGATGAACGTGATGAACATGCATTATTATTGGTATTTTGTAATGATTCAAATTTTGCTTTTAATTTTTTTAAACGTTGTAATATTGAACCATATTCAAATAGACCACGACGATCACCAAATGGATCCTAAAATTTCAATAAATAGAATAAATATGATATATAGAAAAAATTTTACCGTCATTTGTTGCCCATCTTTATTTGAATTTTCTGTACATACTTCAACATAATAATCATAGAAATCAAAAAATTGTTTGATCATTACTTCTCTAAAAAGTAAAACAGATCCATTTGATTTATTTATTTTTTTTTATTGTAGAAAAAATGTACCGCAATTGTTGTGGACATGAATTTTCATTTTCAAGCATTTCACATACAGCAACACGTAATGTTTCATGCTTTATTATTTCGTTATAAGTCTTTGAATCACCTGATGTACGTTCCTAAAATCCAAAAAACACAAAATTCTATTAGAAAAATTTAGCATTTAAGAAGAAAATACATACATGTTCAAAACCGGGTTCATTGTGATATGGTTTTTCCGACATTAATGATTGAATAGAAATAAGTAATGATGATATACACTGAGCTGGAGACCATGATGGACCACTCCATGTACTGAAAAAAATAAAAATCAAGGTTCAATTTTCTTTATAAATTGATCGATAAAAGAAAAAAACATACCCAAGAATAGATAAACACACTTTACCATTACGATAAAGATTTGGATTGAAACGAACGGTATTATTTCCAGTAGTCATCAAACGACAACGAGGTGCTCGAATGGGACTTTAATTTAGAAGAAATATATATATAATCAGTGAGCCAGAATAAATGTCCTTCGAAATATTTCTACAATATTACCGTCAAGGTTCATCACCATGCTTTAATCTTTTTTAATAAAAGGTTCATGATTACAATACTGTATGACTTCTCAGAAAAGTTTGCGTTCATCGACGAAAAAAAAAAAGATAATTCAACTTTATTTCAATTTCCAAAGAAATCAATAGTGGATCACACTGAAATACAAAATTTTGAATAGGAGCTCTTTATTCTGACACATTGCGCAAAACAAAGTTTTTCATTTTTTTTTTGAGTCAGTTTTCGAAAGTAATGTTTGCGTCCAAAAAAAAAAACTTAATTGAAACAATATTCACTGTACATCATGAGAAAGAACACACTTATGATAGAAGTCCTTCAATTAATGAGCTGTTGCTCTTGAATCGAGAGTATAGTCATTATGTAGATTCAAATCAGCTATGAGTACTTGGAAAAAAAATGTGCCTCCTAGTTTATTGCTGCGTAGATGTATGAGGACAGATCTTAACGAGAGTAGTTTATTGTGAAAATTTTAGATCTTTTGGATTGCTTCTATCCTAAGATAAGAACCTCAAATCTGTCATTCTACATGAGCGACGTAAAAGGCACGCTATTAACGTAGTTGTGTCTTAGGATATGAA